GTTCTGAAAAACATTAGGGTTTTAAATGGAGTATATATTTTATAAATCAAATAAAAAATAAACGCTTGGAAATTAAAACTTTAATTTTTCACAAATGTTTTTTTTTTAAATAAACTATAAATAATATTTTCAACAAAATTAGTAATGTGTGTGTCCTCCTCTGGCTAGCCGAACTTCTTCACATCATCTAGGCATCGATTCCACAAAATTTCTGATTACTTCTCTGGGAATATTGTTCCATTCCTCTTGAAGCATTTCTCTAAGCTGTTCCAAATTTTATGGTGCCGGACGATCCCTTATCCTTCTCTGAAGAACATCCCAGAGATGCTCAATAGGATTTAGATCCGGGGAGTTTGCGGGCCACTCTAAAACCTCGATATTATTCTCCTCAAGATATTGTGTGACAATACGAGCAGTGTGGGGCCTCGCATTGTCATGCTGTAGAATAAACTGTGGACCTTCTTCTGCGGCAAATGGGACTATATAGGGTTCTACAATATCTTCCAAATACCTATGAGCATTTACCACACCATCCCTACAGATATGCAAACCTGTACGCCCCGTTAAAGTTATACCTCCCCAGACCATAAGTGAGCCACCTCCAAAGTGAACAGTTTCTGTTACAGTTGAATCTAAATAACGCTCACCTCTACGCCTCCATGCTCGTACACGTGCATCGTTTTGGCTAAGTCGAAATCTAGACTCATCTGAAAAGAGCACGTGTCCCCACTGATCCATATCCCAATTGATATGATTTCGAGAAAAAGTTAATCGAGCACGGGTTAACTGGGGCCCAACAGCTCGGACTCTGGAACGTAGATGGGCTTCATGAAGTCTATTTGTAACTGTCTGAGTGGATATTCGCCTTTCGCTGGCGTCAAAATGTAAATCAGCAATGTTTCTTGCTGTTCTGGCTCGGTTTTGGGTGGCTAACCTTACCAAATTACGGTCCTCACGTGGGTTTGTGACTCGTTCTCTTGCCGGATAAGGTTTTCTAGTGATAAAACCAAATTCTCTATGTCTGTTAAGAAGTCTAGAAATTACCGAATGACTTGTTTGAAGTCTTCGGGCAATACTTCTAACCGAATGTCCTTCTTGGAATAAAGTAACCGCTGTCACTACTTCAACCTGATTTAAATGCCTCCTTTGATGAAGATCTTCATCAAAGGAGGTATTTAAATCAGGCCTCGAGGCCTTCCTAGAGCATCAACATTCATTTTAATTAATTATTGAACTTATCACAATGCACAACAACGACTAAAATGACTTACAATAAATGTTAAAATGCACTGTTTTTTAAACAAATCGCATTTCTACAAAAAGTTATGAAAACAAAAAATGTTTGTTTACATAAAATAAATTATACATAATATGAGTACAAGCCTATAAAAATATACGAGGGTTGCTTAAAAGTTAAAAAAGATACATGTATTTTAAAAAGTGGTCCTTAATTCGTTTTGAGTAGTTATTAGGGACGAAAGTACGTACTTTCGACCGAGGTAAACTTTCGTCCCTGCTATTAGGGACGAAAGTAAGTACTTTCGACCGATGTATAAAGAAACCGAAAATTCAACTTTCGGCCCTTCTAGTGTAATATACTATTACTGTGTAGGACCGTCACGTTTTGTCACGCCCAAGCGAGAATTTTTTATACTTACGTGACAAAGTAAGTATTTTTAGGGGTGTCTTTACGTTGCTCAGTGGTCGGAAACACAAAAAGCTGGAGAAAATTCAAATAGAGAGCGAATTTATTTGAAAAAAACAAACATCGCAATTGGTCGCAGCCAAATTTGTAATATTATGTTAAGTAACTTGTTAACTTTGTATTTTGATAGAAATTATATCGGGCCGGCGCGACGCATTTTTTAAAAACATGTTTTTCATTTACTTTTTTGTTGACTGAAAGTTTCTGAATAGATCACTTTGAGGTCACTATTATAATACACCATGCATGAATAACATAAACCTCGTATTAAAATTTTATCATAAACAGCAACTCGCTTCATGTATCGTCGAAGAAATCGCGCTCTTTAACAAAATCTACAGCACTTTTAACAGATCGTAAAATTTGGGGTTTCGAAACGTCTCGCTAAGGTATGGCGGTAGGCCCTCTTATTCGCTTTTTCAAAGCCTAAAAGGATAAAACCTAGCCACATATTTTTGGCATTTGGTGCAGAAATTGAAAAAAATCAATGTTTTTTTTTCTTAAACCAAAATACGGTATTCTATATAGAACATATTTCTGCTGTGCATCGACAAATTCTGTCACGAGGGAGTGGGAAGGTGTCAATTTTGAACATTTTAGCGTCACGTACATTGTGTTATATTTAAATTAGAATAAAAGTTAATATTTAATAAGTTATTAAAAAAAACAGCGTCTTTAAAATTCGATTCATTTGATTTCAAAAAAGGAAATGTAACGCAATTTAGACAACTAAAACTAATTATATTATGGTTGTCTGTCAGACAGAAAAGCCCATGAATGGTTTGCTCGTTTCTATTTTGAAAAAGTTCAGCAAGCACACATTGCAGAGTAACTAAATATTAACCATTTTCTGTAAACATGGATTCAACATAATTTAACAGTTAATAACTTAATAAAGGATATTCTTGATTTTAGAAATTTTACAAATTAAAACAGTTTTTTGACCACGAAAGTTCTAAACCAATGGATTAATGACTACCTTAAAAATGGCAAAATTCATCGCTCAAAATGGATATTTGGTTTTATAATGTGAACATAAACATACGAGACGTACAGCGAGCCCCATCAGTATCGTCCCTTGCAAAACCTCTCGATAGAGGCTGTTATCCACCGTCCATTTCCACCGCCACCAGCAAGTGCACAGCTTCACATGTCTTTTCTTGAGGCGGAAGTCCATCGCGGCTTTTTCGATGCCCTTTTTTTTAGGGCTCCCAAGGATCATGCCAATGATTTTATTAACCAATCCTGGTTTCGCCGGGCCGGACTATTCGCTCAATAGATGGTCGAGGAGCAGGATGGATTAGTTTTTAGAGGTCGTTACGCCGACCTAAACCCAGGTACCACACGGAAACACCCCTAGGCTTGGACTAACAATTGGGGTTCATGTTTGCGGCTGGGTGTTGCTATTTAACTTTCCTAGTCGTGTCTTGACCTTTGTATCCGTGTCGCCATTCGTAAGACACAAAATCCTGGAAGCCTGGAAGTTAGCATTTAACACAAGCTTTGGGGTCCTAGCTTACGGCTAGAGAGCAGTTAGTTAGCTACGAGGGCGTCCGGTTCCGCTTCTCTGTCCGCGATTGTTCAAAATAACAGCAGGAAAGATTCAGCTACCCTCACCAAATACTGACTTTAAAAAAGATTTAGTTACTTCCATAAACTTTCTTTTAGGCATAAAAAGGAAAAATAGATACACACATTCTTTTGCCACACTGTGCAAAATCGTCCACACCAAAATTTGCCCTTTATATGGGCGTGAGTGCTTTTTGCTACTCCGCCCTTGTCGGGTCGGTCAAAACAAGGTGGCTTTAAGGTAGATTTAACTACTCCTACCAAATACTGACTTCGAAGAAGATTCAGCCTTTCAACAAGTTGTTATTTGCTAATCTAAAAAGAATTATTTCACCCCACTGTGCAAAGATCATTATAAACAGGTCAAAATATTGCCATTGTTATGTGTGAGTGTTTATTTTGAATGCTTGAATGACTAAATATTTTAGTTGTTTGTTAGTGAGTTGCGAATTGTCATGCAGGTAGAACTATAGTAAGTATACTTATCCCGTTTATCCCCTTGGCGTTTAAGTATTGATCATGATTTCTTGTTTTTGTATCATATACTGGTCATGTACGTTTTCATCTTTCCTTGTTTGGTACTATAGTAAAGTAAAGTAAAGTACCAAAGTACCTATAGGTACTTCTTTTGCACAGTATTTTTACTTATTGATTTCGTTAGTTAGTAAGTTACTTACGGTAAGTAGAGGGCGCTTGCACCACTTGTCAATATGAAATCCCAGATGCAACTTGATATTGGGTTTTATAAAGTTTATATAAAATATAATATATCCTATAGGAAACAATTTTTTTTAATTATGAGTAAAAATTTGCGAGGATATTTTAGAGTAGGTTTTCATGGATCCAATATAATAAATAGCCAAAGCATATTTTTTGTCAGCTGTGTATTCCTTCGAGGAAATTTTAGACACTTGCGGCGGAATTTTCTTAAGTTGTTAAATTGTCTCAGGTAGGTGATTTTAACAAATTTCACGCTCAAAAATGACCGTATTTCGCTTTAATTAGCCGCCAAATAAATGCAATTTAAGTCCTTGTCAATGAAACCACCCTAAAATTGTTAAATTGGTTTATAATCTAATTGTTTAATTGTTTCTTAAAATTGTACATTTGCCAATGTTTTTGTATTATAATTTATATAATTTCATTTAAACATCTACTGTGTTTTTTTAATTCAAACGTTCTTGTTGGAACACTCTTTATTATTGGTTTATTCAGAATATATTTGTAATTAAATTAATTAATTCAATGCATGATCAACTATTTATTAAATAACACATGGTTGTTTTTATTTTTTTTAATAAGAAGGCATTGGCTAAAAAAATTGATTTATATTTTTTTAATCAGATTTCATCACATGAAATTAAATCTCATTTCGTTTTTGTATAAAAAAAGCTTTCCTAAAAAAACAACGTTACGTTTAAAAAATATTTTTATTAATTTTAAATTATATACAATACAAGAAAAAATAGCATTATTCACTATACTTATATTAACGACTTAGTTAAGAATTATAATAAATATTATGTACAAGATATGGCAAAAAAGACAAAACTTAAAAAATAAATTAAATAAGTACGGAATTTGTAGTTTGTTAAAAAAATTTAAAAGCTCAATCACCTCTTGTAACCTTGCGATTATTTCCTGCCATATATAATAGGTAACAAAAAAATATCTATCATTTAAAGACTACAGTAAATGTAAAAATCTAAAAATTACGTAAATAAATCTACTCGACGTCTATTTTAATATCTGTATCTCCATCTTCACTACCACTTCCACTTTGGTACTCTTCATTTGTGACTAAGACTCCATACGGTTGTTGGATGCCAGAATAAACCTCATTGATGGTCTTCGCTTTTTTGGTTGGCTTCTTTAAAAGTTCCTCAATCGAGTAGGGATTCTTCTTTTTTACTTCTTTTTTTGCTTCTTCTGTTATTGTTAGATCTTCTTTGGAATCTTCCTCTTTGATTTTGGGCTCGATTTTGTTTGGTTGGCAAGGGATGATTAGATTGGACCAGGTCGAGTGTGTGGTGATTTGGTTGCTAACGTGACCTGTCGATATGTGAAGTTGTTGTAATGTTAACCTGTTGTTTGTTGTATACGAAGTAGAATCGTGGATTGATGGAAAATATGACACACTTGGAGAAGATTTTGAGTACATATCTGCTAAAACAATAATTTATTAATAAATAAATAATCTCTAAAAGTTAAATAAAGTTTGCTTTTGAACACCCATTTGGACATTTAAGTTAAGGCAGAACGTTTTTATTAAATATTTTTAAGCATACGTGATTTGGAAAACAGTTAAGCAAAAGTGTCGGAATGCGTAAATACAGAAATTTTGTCTTATAGTTTCGATCAAGCATAGTTTTTTTTTTAGGGTTAACTAAAACCTTAGAGCGATTTTATCTTTTCACATCACATATGCTTTACAATTTGTAACATATACATTAGGGTGTTTCAAAAAAATAGACTTTTTCTTTTTCTTTAAATGGTCGGCAAATTCTTTCAGAGGATGTCAACACAAAGACCTCGTCAAAATTTGAGCTTTTAATTTGAAGATTTAGAGGTCGCGGATCGCAATTTTCTATTTCCCATTTAAATAACATAGGAAATTTTTTTTACTTTGAAATTTTATACGTCTGAATCGAATCAACTTATTTCAAGGATCATCTTAGATTTTTATAGTAAATTTAACGCTCTACAAAAAAGGTCTCTTATCATTTTTCTATAAATTGATTCCTTCCAGAGTTATTCGAGGCCAAAGTTTGATTTCCATCAAATTTTCGCGTTTTTTTAACATTTATGGTACAATTATCATTATACGGGTGTCCCGAAATCAGGGGGCCAAACTTAAACAGTGCATTATTCGTATAAAAATAACACATTTTTTGTTTAATAAACATATATCAAAAAATGCTCCCTAAAGGAGCTACGGCCCCCTAAATAGGATAATTTTTTTAAAACTATTCCTAGAGGGTTGAACATAAACAAATGAATTTTTGGTATTTTGGTAATTTTGACATGCTGAATCTAAATCTATGATCAAAACTGTTAAAATTTAATCATAGGCGTAACATTTGGAGGGGGCAAATTTACAAAAATAGCCCCAACTTTTTTCTGGGTTAATAATTTAATTTTTTTTATGAAATTATGAGAATTTATAGTTTTTTACGAAAAATAGGTACTCTTGATTTGAATTGCTCAGATGCACCATTTTCGAGAAAAATGCATTTATAAATAAATTACTCTGCATATTATACACATCTCATATTTTCATTAAAACTTTGTAGTAGGCTTTGGAAAAAAGTGAAGTTTTTTTGTTTTTTTTGTTTTTTTTTACAACACTTCCTATGTTTCAGATATAAATATATGATTTTTTTACTACATGATGCTAAAAGTTGAAAAAACGAGAAAATTCGATGGAAATCAAACTTTGGCCTCGAATAACTCTGAAAGAAATCAATTTATAGAAAAATTATAAGAGACATTTTTTATAGAGCGTTAAATTTACTATAAAAATCTAAGATGTTCCTTGCCATAAGTTGATTCGATATAGACGTATAAAATTCCAAAGTTAAAAAAAAAATTTCCTATGTTATTTAAATGGGAAATAGAAAATTGCGATCCGCGACCTCTAAATCTTCAAATTAAAAGCTCAAATTTTAACGAGGTCTTTGTTTTGACATCCTCTGAAAGAATTTGCTGACCATTTGAAGAAAAAGAAAAAGTCGATTTTTTTGAAACACCCTAATATACATTATTACAAAGTATTATTCATCCTTTGTATTAAAGTATTTTAATTTAATTTACCTGGATGTGGAGGTCTTGGATGGTGCATCATTTCGGGTGGATCAGGCCAAACCCCACTATTTCTTAGGATTCTATTGACCGAGCTAACTGATGGTATGTTGTGTGGTTCACATACCCTTTGAGATATTAATTGTTCCCGTATCTCCCAGGCGAACATACCAGGATTTTCTTGTTTGAAACGCAAAATCTTCTTTACTACAGTCGGAGTGGCAACTTGCTGCAACAAAAACTAAAAAATGTTAGACAAAGCAATATAAAATGTAACAGTCTAATTAAGCGCTAAATAGCCTCTAACTAGCCCCAGTAGCTGGGTGTCAGCATAGAATAGCAATGTACGACAAGATAAGATCGTCAAATTTAACCATCATAAATTACAAAGTCGATAAAAGTAAGGGCCACAGTAGCAACGAAACAATTACCCTGTTGATGGAATCGAGGACAGGACATGAGAAATGTTGCGGTTGGTGGTAACGTAGATTGATCCATCCCGATAACACACAGGGGTTGTGACACTACAAACACCGCTCTTATGTGACCGCATCACGATTGCGACATCCTTTTGTTTATTATTATTTACGTGCATACTGCACTCCCTGCACGATCTTGTTCGACCATGTCTGACCGTTGTCAACTTTCATGTCCTTTTGTCTAAAGGAACTTAACGGTTCGGACATTTTGAGGCATAACACGACAGGGTACTAAAGTTATTTTTGCGTTTTTGTAATTCGACCAAGTAGGTAATTTTATATTAAAAATTATATACTGTTTCATTTAAATTTAAAATCAGGATATACATAATATATTATAATAAATCCATTTTTCATTAAATCCAAAATTCAAATGAAATAATTTAATACATTTAACATTTTTTCGTGAAGGGTCATTTCAGGTCAGATCAAACAATGCAGTTTACCGCACTGACTCAGATTTGTCTTAAATTTTGTGTAGATGATAAATAGGCTAGGAGTTGTAAAGATAGTATACCAATACTTCCAGAAAAAAATGTATCTTAGATTTTCGCCTAGGAGCTAAAACTTTTTGTGGCTAAATACCAGCGTTACGATTTTTCCAAACCGGGGCAAGAACTTGACATTGGCGCTACTTTCCTCCAGCATTTGAGTTTACAGATTTCAAACAATTTAATTTGGCGCCCCCTTGAGTTGTCACCCGGGTCTGGGGCCCCAGTTTTTCCCCCCTGGATCCGGGGCTGCTAAATACTAGTCGTTTCTTAAAAATACAGATTTAAAAAAATGAAAGATGACAGCTGTCATTATTGACAATTAACGTAGCATTTGTAAATAATAGTTATTTATTTAAAGGGTTGGATTTTTCTTCTCAAAAAATAAATTGAAACTCTTAGCACTAACATAAGAAATAACTATTATCTGTTATAGCATATTTTTGACACCTGAAACCTGTCATTTTTGACATCTGTCAGCTAAATCATCATTGTGAGATTTGTCAACTGAAAAACGACCAGATGAAAGTTTAAGACTTTTTTTCTCAGCTCCCAGGCCGAAAGCCAAGATTTTTTAGTAGAAGTAGTAGAACATGTGCTCCTGATCAAACATGTCGAAAAATTGTTTTGCATTTTTTTAACAAATGCAATGCTCTTAGAAATAAACTTTCACTTAAATAATATATACAGGTTAATTTATTTAAGAAATTAAGAACAAATATTACTAATCTTGCGAAAAATTAAAATATTTCAATAGTTTATGTCATTGGTACAAGAAGTAAATCTTCTTGTGCTGAACTCAAATTTTGAAGGGCAACAAAAAACGTAGGTCTACAATTTAGCCAAGCACAAACAGACCTTCTGTCGTAGGTAGGTACAACATTTTTTTTCGAGTTGTTGTGTTTTTCAAAATTTAAAGCCAATTTTATTTGCTAAACGGTACATAAAACGTACATCATTAAAAGTGGAAATAATTAACGCTAACAACTACTTACTAGCCCATAATGATTTATTACTTTATCACCGAGTGCCGAGTTTTGACGACAATAAAGTTATAATTTAGGATAAATATGTTTTTATTATTCTAAATGAAATTTTAAAATATATTTTTGACATTTTTAAATATGTTCAATGAACATTGTTCATACATTTTTTTAAAAAACTTGACAATTAATTTGTTTAACGAATATTGTTTTAGTAATGAATGTTTTTAGAGCAAAAATTAGTTTTTATGATCATTTAAAAACCAGTCGGAGAAAGCATATTAACTGCCTCGCACAGATCTGTCTCGGCTACGAGCACTGAGCTTGACTAAAGTTTTTTTCTTCCTGTTACATAACGTACTATTACACTAACAAGGTCAACAAGATAACTTTTTTTGTGCCTAGAATTTTAAAACTGATTTTAGTTCATTTTGGGTCGCTAAACCCAAATATGAAATCAGTTTTTCTTCATCAGGTATATTTTTTTGTATCTGTATTTTTGCGTACAGTTGTCGCCGTTCAGAGTAAATTGAAATTTTCACGAGTTTACCAGTTTACCTCGTCTAAACAAAATATTATTTTAAAATATTAATAATAATAAGTAAAGTACCTTGTAGACTATATTCGTATACAAGGTACTTCATTTGTTGCAGAAGATTTTTTGGGAAAAAACGCAAAGCTGAAAACTACGTTAAACTGGTAAACGAGATGCTTAGCAGTTTTAAATCCCTTGGATGTATCATAAGTATTTCTGAAAATTTAGGAGACATAAGGAACAAGGTGAAAAATTTCACCAGGATAATAAAACTATGAAGGACCGCAACCAAGGAAGATGGGATCAGCACATGATGGCAGATTACTGCTGAAGTTTAAAAATTGACTGTTCCAATATACATACAAGAAAATCGCGGAAAAGAACCTTAAGTGACCATGTAGTTCGTTTTATCGATGGCTTTTTTGTCTATCTTTGTATATAATATAGAATAATATAATAAAAATATATATGTATATAAAAATTGCATATGTCTATAATATAATAATAAACATTACATTTGATTTGATCCATGGATTTAACTTAACTTAATGTATATTTTACTAAATTTAAGATACCTACTTAAATAATAAGAAATTTTAGCTGGTAGGCAAAAACTAATGCCATATTTGAAATCAGGGCATCAAATTTATATAAAATCAGCTCCAAATACCCCGACACCAAAATAGTTATTGACCTGAGTTATACATGTTAAAAAAAAAACACATCAAAAAACAATAAATCTGTTTGTAAAGGGCAGAGCCTAAAACGTATTTGCATTAGTTCAGGAAATATATTTATTGTTAACGGGTATACACTGTTCAAAATTTCATGACCAATTTAACACCAAATTAACACCATACGTGGTCTATATCGATACAAACCAAAATGGTGTTAAATAAGGTTCGTTGGTCCGGTGTCAATTCAAATACTAAAATGGTGTTAAATAAGGTTCGTTGGCGGTGTAAATTCAAATACTAAAATGGTGTTAATTTAACTTTCACACAGTATTAAAATAAATTTTACCTGGTGTAAATTGAACTCCTTTTCAGTGTTAAATATTATGTGTTTGTGGTCAAATTATCATACTACACAGAAAAAAGGAAAAAAAAAGGAAACAGGAAGTTCCTTGACGCATTACTAGTATATTACCAGTGGTATTATTCCAGACTCGCTAGAGATAATGTTTTTAGTGCGTTCCACTAACTTAAAATACTTTAAGTATTGACAGCTGTTTCCACCTATTTAAGGTCTCTTTAGTATCGAGCAACTTGTAGTGTCACACCAAAGCAAAGGATTACCTTAGTTTATATATTCTTCATGTAAGTCAACAGAGGCGAGATTTAAGAACATCACGTGATCCACAAAAATATAAATACTTATGGGTCAACTGGGTTAAATGAACTATTCCTTTTTTTCTGGGTAGGTGCACTTCTCAAATATTTTTAGATAAACACCGTTTTGGTGTTCATTTTCAACCCTAATTCATGGTGTTATATTAACACCACTTGGTGTTGGATTTTGACACCATTTTAGGATTACTCTTTACACCGCAGATATTTTAAACAGTGTACGCTTTTATATATACCCTCATAAATATTCACCAGATGCTTTAAAAATATATTTTGAAGCTTTAAAAGTTACTTTAACCGAGAACGGCGACTATATTGACCCTTCTCGTATATTTAACTACGATGAAACAAATCTCTGCGATGATCCGGGTACAAAAAAATACATTTTTAAAAGGGGTGTAAAATATCCGGAAAGAATTCGAGACTCTACGAAATCCAGTGTTTCTGTTATGTTTTGTGGGTCAGCGGCAGGGCAGATTATACCACCTTATGTGGTATATAAAGCCGAAAAAATATGGTTGACTTGGATGGAAGGAGGGCCAGTATATACTCGTTATAACCGCAGTAAAAGTGAGTGGTTTGACGCAACAATTTTCACTGACTGGTTTGTAAATCTCTTTGTCCCGTATATAAAGAAGAACATAAATGGACGAGTTGTATTATTAGGAGATAATCTTTCTAGCCATTTTACCGAAGATGTCTTAAAGTCAGCTGAAAAAAATAACATAACATTTGCTTGCTTCCCGAAGAATTCCACACATCTATGTCAACCGCTCGATGTTGCCTTTTATGCTCCTTTAAAAAGGAAATGGAGAGGAATTTTAGACACTTGGAAACAAGCCCAAAAAAAAACCTCCCAAACTATTCAGAAAGATCAGTTTCCACGTTTATTAAAAAAATTAACTGATGAAATCGCACCTGACAATTTCTCACAAAATCTAATTTCAGGCTTCAAAAAATGCACTGAAAGAAATTTGTTGCTAAAAGTAAATACAAATTTATACTAAAAATTTTATACTAGTGCTTTACACATTTATACTACTGTTTATTATGAATGTATGGTAAATTTTGTAATACATTTATTGTAAAGAAGATATGTTAGATCTAAATAAAAATAAACTTACCCTTACTATAAAATGTAAACTATAAGTGAATTACAGCAAAAAAATATTGCTAGAAACACCATTTATATTGCTAGGGCAGCAATAGGCTGCTAACCAAACGAATATATTTGTTTTAGCAATGTATGTGGTAGTCTATATATGAAACATAAAATATATTTGCCCTAATTATTTTTTTATTTAACTTTAGTATATATTTCTTTCAGTGTGCGGTATTAGTCCTTTCAATCCGGAGGAAGTCATAAGTCGTCTGCCACAAGCTAACACTGAGGATGGGAATACTAGTACCGCATCAGACATGGTTTCAGGTGTAGTAGTAGATATGCTAAAAACCATGAGATACGGCAATGAAAATGACACTCCTAAAAAACGCAGATGCAAGGTGAATGTTCAAGCAGGAGCTAGTATTTCTGTAGAGGATCTATTGGTAAATAAAACTCCCCCCGTTGTATTGCCCGGATGTTCGAATTCCAAGAAAAAAACACCCAAGAAATTAAGAAAGAAATTGGCAAAGAAAGATAACAATATCGACGAACTCCTGCATTCAGATGCAGATATACCCTACATGGACTCTTCATCAGAAGAAAATTGGGAGACTTATTGTGAGAAACTAATAGACGAAGAAACAGAATTGTGGAGTGATGACGAGGAGCCATTAGTGCAATTGACTTCAGCGTTTAATTCAAATGAAGAGAAACAAACCCAACCCCACAACGAAAGTGAACTTG